ACCACTCATTTTTCGTATTTTTTTTCCAGACTGCACTCATAGAGGAAGCAAGGTAATGGGGAGCCCCAATTTCTCGCCCAAGTGGGTTTAGCATCACAGATGAAGGGCGGCGATCGCCCCTTTTCTGCTTAAAATCAAAAAAAGTCTCTCTGGGGTTCTTTTTGTACTTGGTCCCTGCCCCATGCGCCGTTTAAAACTTTACTGCCGAGCCCCAAGCGGGAAAAGGGCCCCCCAAAAGGGCACGCGTTTCTGAAAATGCCTGCCCGAAGTTTGGGGGTATGAATGAAAGCTGGGGTTAAAGCAGAGGAGAAAAGAGGTGTAAAAGTCATCGATGGGGGAGGGAAGAAGGAACCTCTCAAAAAATAGTTAGGGGGGAAAAAGGGTTCCCAATTTGCCTGATCAAATTGCCAGCGTGGGATGGGGGAAAGAGGTGGGGGGAATAGGGAAGGGGAAGTAAGAATTTTGGGAAATGATCGCTGCCCCATTAAGCCGGGGGGAACAGCCCAAGGAAGTTAATCCCGGCGGGGGAAGGGAGCAGACAAAAGATCGATGCAAGAGGGGTTGTGGAGCCCGGGGAATCAAAATGGGTTGGAGTCCCTGTATTTAAAAAAAGGGGGGGAGGATGGGTGGCAAAAAAACCCTAACTAAAGCCACGGGAACCCACAGGGAGCCCCCCCCCAAAAGGGAAATAGTGGGCTTTAAAAATCTAAGTAACGAATCGGTGGGGGTTTAAAGGGCGAAACAAGAAAGGCAATAAACCGGGAAAAGAAATCCCGGAAGGAGAGAGATATAAAAACGAGCGTATACCACCCCATGCAAGGGGGATACGGGCTGCCCGTGAAAAGCAGCCCAAGTAAAAACAAATAGCTGATGGGTTTGGAAAATCAGTGGTAGAAGAAGGGGCCAAATTTCATTAAAAAGGGCCCATCAGGAAAAAGGGTTGAAGGAAAACAAAAAAATTTTATCCTGAGATGGGGGGAGATAACAGAGGAGTGGGAATTTTGGGTTTCCCGTAAGCAAACACCCCAAAAGGGGGAAAACTGGGAGAGTAACATTGGGAAACTCACCCCGATTCCCCCCCGAGGCCGGGTTATTCCACTGTAAAAAAGGCCATGATTGGCAGTAATTTAAAAATACCTGAAAAAACCCCAGGTTTAAGGGGTTCCCACGGGGCTAGAGGGGTTAGAAAAAAGTTCCCCCATGCGGAGGCAGGGAAACGTTCAAAACAGCGAAAGGAAAAGGTGCGCTGTGAAGAAAAGGATTGGGGCAGATGGGGCAAAAGGAGAGGCAGGGGCGGGGGTGGATCAGTGTCCCTTTATGGTTTGGTTTTCTGGCCCAAAAATTCAGAGATTGCTTCAAGTGTTTCGGGAATTTAGGAAAACTTTGTTGGGAAAACAATAATTTGGGAAAAGGAAGGGGGGGGGATTTAGTAATGAATTTGGAAACGTATTGGGGGCTGTTTCCAAGGAAGGGGGGGGGCGAAAAGGGGGGAGGGAACTGGAAAAACGTGGAAAGGGGGCAGAAGAGGGAGGAAAAACCCGGGAGGTGGCAGAAAGGAAAAAGAAAAAATTTTAGGGGGGAAAAAGGCCCAGGGAAAGGGACAGTACGAGGGGGGAGGGTGGAAACCCCTACACTTGTAACAGAGCCTTGGGGGAGGGGGGAACCAGGTTTTCAGGACAGGGGAAAGGGAAAATGAGGAGGTGGAAGATGGGGGTAGGAGGGGTTAACGGGCCCTTTTTTGAAATTTTGAAAGTAGAGGGGCGTTTTGGGGGGAGGTGCATAAAGAGATCTCGGCTTTCTGAGGCTTGTGAGAAAAGAAAAACAAGAAGCGAATCAGACTTTAGGCCTTTTAAGTAGGGGAAAATTTAGCCGGGACAGCAAAAAAAATTTGGAAAACAGGAGTGACTATTGGGGGGAAAGGGAACCCCCAGAGGTGGGTGCAGAAATGGGTTTCCAAATTAAAGGGGGGCTTTTGGGAAAAAACGGGAAAAAGAAACACGAGGTAGTTTTTCCCCTTTGGAAAGGGGGAGGGTGAGAAAATGCCATGGCCCTAAGGGAGACCTTCTGCCTTTTCTGAAGGGAAAAGGATTTCCCCCCTCTTTTTAAATAGACCTTACCCTTGGGGAGAGTACGAAGGGTGAGCCTCATGAAAAAATTAAGGCCAGAAAGGGGAGGTCGATTGCAAGAATTTTAGAATGGTCATCGGGCACCAAAAGACCCGGGCAAATTTGGCGTAGATCTCCAATATTTCGCCCCGGAAAGGCCAAATCGCCAGCAATTTCTACATGTTGCGGTGTAGGGGTTTACCTTTCCCAAAATTGGGAACCGATTCCTGCTACATTTAAAATGAGGATGCGAAATTCACGGCTTTCAAAAAATTAAACCCAGCCACATTGCAGGGTTCGTCTCCCCCCACGGGGGAGGAAAAATCGTAAGTGTCTTTCCTTGAGGGGTTTTGGGGGATCTTGGGAAAAAATTTTTTGAACTATGGTTTTTGGGGCGGGTAAAGGGACCACTACAAGAATTGAGGGAAAAGATGTTTTTCAATTTGTGGGCAGGAACAGTAGATTAAGGGGAAAGGGCGAGAAAATTTATTTGAACCTGGGTAGCATTCTGCATGGTGGGTGAAACGCCTACCGCCCCCCTTTAAAAGCATGAAAAAAAATATCTTTACCAACATGGCGTAGGATTTCCTTGCCAATACTGTGGGGCAGAAAAAAATAGGCAGTAGAGGAAAACCGGGTTTGTAAAGTGAAGAATTTTTTGCAATGGCAGTCTGAAACTGAGCGTGGAAAGGTAAATAAAAAGGGCCTGTCAAACTTTTCTGAAAGAACAGAAGGGGGAGAAGTATCATCACAGGTAATTGTCGTTTGGGATTTTTGGCGTTTGGGGCCCCGATTTTGGGCCAACGTGGAACGGGGCCCGGGGATTTAAAATTGCCACCCGAAAAGGGAGAGGCCGGAAAACATAGGTTTAAGGAGAGCAAAGGGGGCAGATAAATCGAAAAAAAGTCAGTCGAGGGGCCCAGTACCTGAAGCGGGTGGGGGAAACGGCACCGGCAAGAGGTACAGAGGCATGAGGAGTGTCCGAAGAGTGGTCCAAGAACGAGGCGGGGTCAGAAGGGGGTGCGGTATCAAGAAGGGGCCCGGGGGTAGCAGGTTCATGGACTAGGGCTGCCATGGTTAGGTTATTTCTTTCTTTTTGTTTTTTAGAAAAAAAAAAGAAAGAAAATAAAAATAAAAAAAGAATAAAAAAAAGGGGGGACCAGGAGGATAGTTCCTAGAGGAAATGAAAGGGCCAGAAATCTCCCTCCGCGCCCAAGAGGACCTCAGAAAACCGCAAGTAGCGCAGATGCAGCATGGAACCCGTGCCATACCCTACCCATCATGCCAGTAAACCGGCAATCCAGGATAGAAAACCTCACATCTGCCGAGCTACTCGGTGGACAAAAGAGAGGCGCCGGAAATCCGCCACAAAGCATACCCCCTTCAGCCACCCCCCCCGGGAATCCAAAAAGGTGGCTTCCAGAAATACCCCCGTCGCCAGAGAGACACCCAAAACCAACCTCTGGGATACCGGAGAGGGATCGGACATCCCCAGGCAATCCAGATTCCACCAACCGCCCGCCAAAACCTCAACAATGGATGGACCCCGGTCCCCTTCCCCTACCTAGAACTAGGGGCCCTGTGGGGGGGGGAAAAAGGCAAAAAGGAAGGGCAAAAGGGAGGGGTGGGGAGGAGGAGGAGGAAAGGAAAAAGGGGAGGATGGGGCGGATGGGATAGGGAATGGGGGATTGGTGGGTAATTAGGTTCGGTCTGAGGAAGGAGACCGACAGGTCTAATTCCTCAGACCAAGAGCCTCTTCACCACGCCAAGGAGCCCCCCTTGAAGAGGATTATACACATAACCTATTCACAAGCCCCTTACTCAGTGATTTCCTGTACATGAACATGACTGATGTATGTGGTACAGTGCATGGAACATGTAAACATGTGACTAGGATCAATGCAGGCATTGGTACAGGCATTTCATGCCAATGACATGGCATTTTGGTGGAATGACAATCATGATGTTACACTGTTGACACTGATTCACCACAAAATGAAAGACACAAGGAGAGTGAATACGCACACCAGTGAACTCATCCTAAAACCAGCTGTTGTCATCAATTAAACCACCAATATGTATTTAATGGACAATTGTGACATGCAGATTGGATTTGCTGATTGTATCTGCAAGAGTTACATGAAACTTCTATTTTGTGGACATTGTAACAATCAATGCATACAATATGTACCAAACTGTTTGTCTGCCATCAGGCAAATGATACACAAATACCAGGTCATGGCACGTGACGTGCACATGCACTGCCGAACTGATCACCAAATACCCTCTCGTTTGAAGTTTGGTGATCGCTTCCAAACAACACTTCCTGTTACAGGCAAGAATGGGCTCAGAAGAGATACCTTTGATGAGTTTCAAGTCTTACTACTCCAGGAGCCCAGCCAGGCTCATCTAGTGCTAGCCAGGTCAACCAGGCTGTTGCTGCTGGAGGCCTGCTGCCCCACGTATCCATCACAGCCTGGTTGATCTGGCACCTGGTGAAGATACTTATCCAGTTTTCTTAGAAAATTAGAAAACCCCAGAATAAAAAATAGAAAACTGTTGCTGTCTGCGACTCATCAACCTTCAACTTCATGCATTCATATTTCAGTAAGTACTGATGGGAAAATTTTGTTTCATTACCACCAGAAAAATGTACTCTTTCATTTGATATGTTTTTTTTTTTCTTTAATGTGGACACCAAGAGCAATTTTAATTTTGGTGGTTCTGGCAGTGAAAGGGTTAATAAGCAGTGAACTTATCAGAGTTATGAAGGATTGTAACTGTCTTCTCATTTTAAAGAAGTTTATTGAAGTAAAAAAAAATGACAAAAGATTAGAAATGATAATTATCATTTCTAATCCTTTGTCATTTTTTTATAAACAGTACTGTACTAACCATTAGGATCTGTCTTCTTGTAACAATTTCCTGCCTCTACATAGTTTGTAGCTGCATCAAGACGTGATCCAGCCTTTGCATGCAGTGACGCAAGCTCAGTGAAAGCATGACCTGCAGAGTTCCACTTCTTAGCCATCTTAAACTTGTTTGCAGCTTGTTGGTAAAGATCCATGGCTTCATCAACTTTTGAAGGTCCCCTAAAAAAAAAAACAATAAAAAGAAAAATCAATAAATTTTATGAGTAAACCACAAGAAAAGTGGCTCCATATGCCTAAACAGTGTAAAAGATAATAGGTATGCTGGCGTAGTATTCCATCCCTAAAACTATGGCATACCTGGGAAATTAATTTGTGTGGGCATGTGTGGCAAAATTTTTAGTTATTTTTGCTTAGATTGAAAGAACCTATTTTGTAAACAGAACTACAAAAATAAAAGGAAAACTTATGATTTTATGACGTGCTGAAAATGGCGAAAAACGATCACATCGGCAACATCGGAGTAAACGCAAAAAAAAAAGAAGTATGTTATTTTATTTCCGTTTATGCTAAGCTGTGATTGATTCTCCAATTTCTTTTCTTTTCAATGTCTAACATTATGTACCTGGCACACTATTTTGTGATGACAACATGAGATATACTGGCATGCAAATTGTGACGTATTTTCCACTATAAAAACTGAGATGCCAAATAATTTTCTCATGATTTTTCTTTTTTGTTTCTCACACTATAAACATGGAACTTTATTTAGTTCATTGTGGTAAATTCTCCTCAAAACATGAAAATAAGCTGCAATGACTTTACTGCATTATCTTGGCTAAATCTACAGAATTCTTTTTGACTGAATTCCAGTCGTAATCATAAAACTGTAATAAATATGGAATGAACAGAGAATCTTCCTGCCTGTTTTCACAACCTGTTTGCTGGTAGGAAGCTTGTGTTTGTATGACAGGTCCTGAGTGTTGTTGTTTACATGTCCTACTGAGGCAGTAGTGTCTATGATGCACCGTGGTCTTGCCTGATCCTAGAGTTTTGTTTTATCCGGCATGAGGTGCTAGACACCCAAACAGTTAAGCCAAGACTAAAATGATGGAAGGCAGCATGTGTGACAGCATATGCTGCCTTCCATCAATGTACAGTGTACATCAGACATGAAACATCTGAAAAACTTTTAAAGTGGCCACTGGATTCAGAATTGCAGTAGAACCTCAGTTTTGTGTTTAATCCTGTTCTACGAAAAAAAAGTCATGACTAAAGCCAAATCATTCGAAAACGGAAGCAATATTTCCCATAAGAAATAATGAAAGTCCAATTAATCTGTTCAAACACCCAAAAATATTAACAAAAACTACATTTTACAGAGCATTTTCTCCAACTAGGGCATACGAAAACTAAGGTTTCACTGTAGTACATACAACCACTCCCATAACTTATGGCAGAAATGATTTTAAATATGCAAAATTTCTGAAAATATGAATGTTAAATTTTTCCTTTGATAAAAATAATCCATTACACAGAACAATTACAAAACTTCTAAAACTGTATTAGATGCTATTATGTTAATTATCTAGAAATATTAGAAAAGGAAAACATAGGCATTGTACTGTATTAGAGAAAAAACAATACAAACAATATGAGTGACAATATAAGACTAAAAGTAATTAGTGTTCTCTAGTCCTTTTGGAGTTTCACCATTTAAACACGCCGTAGAAATCTTTGTGTAATTCGTCTACTACTGTTGCTGGTAATGTTTCATTCTATTTTCTCTGAGTGTTATACAATCATCTTTCTCTCTTCTATACCCTAGCTGCTCCTGTTTGTAGCTTTCCTTTTCTTCTCCCAACAAGAAATACTTGGCAACATAGTGAATCTATGAAGTTTTTGAAAATTAAATACATACTAATTGAGTTTTAAACAGAACAAGATTCCTTTTCCAAGTTGGATTGGTTAATTTAATAATAATAATAATAATAATAATAATAATAATAATAATAATAATAATAATAATAATAATAATAATAATAATAATAATAATAATAATACTTTTTATTTCAGCATGATAAAATGTTCACATTGAGAATTTCTTAATCTTCTTCTAGAAAATATCTGAGTTAGTACTGACAAAAGTCTTGCCTTCTGTCATTCATCATTTCTAAATGCCAATTCATAAAACAAACTGCACATTAGATTGATATTGGCCTATGATTTGTCAATTATTATTATAAGCAAAACAAAAAGCTAAACCCTTAAGGATCACACAGCACTGCAGGGAAGGGTGTGCTAAAGGTTTAATATGTTTGATAAGAGACCAATGAAGGTGATGAATATAACAGAAGTAGAGTTATTAAGGGTGGAGGGAGTGCTAAAGGAAGTATTATTATAGTGTAATAAATCTGTTGCTGACAATAAGTCAAAGAGGGAGACTGTGTCAAAGGTGGGGCCATCAGTGAGGAGGAAAATAAAGTAAGAGTGCTAGAGAGGTGACGACAGAGATAAATTCTTTGTGTTCACTGGTAGACAGGACAATCTAACAGAATATGAAAAACTGAAACTGGAATTTGACATTTCTCAGAATGGCACTGGGCGCCTCTCCACGAGAAACCCATGAGCGAGACACGTGTACCCGATGCGAAGATGGGAAAGTTTTGTCTCCCAACCACTACATCAATAAGAAGACAAGAATCCTAAACATAGCTTGATAGAATATAATTTGTTATGAATCAACTCAGACCAATCTTGTTGCCAATGGTTGCAAAGGTGGCTAGAGATTACAGCAAAACAGTCCAAGAATGGAATACCCTACATGAGACGTACAGGTCATATACTGCTGACTGCACAGCAGAATCCATTGGCTCACTGCACTGAACATCCACATGACTAGGGACCCAGCAGAAAACAATTCTTTGTTTTTGCTAGAAATGTGCCATACCCAAAGTTGTATACAAATTAGGGATGTATCAGACATCCGCATCCGCAGAACATCTGCACAGTTTCTTACATCCGCATCCTTACTTTTCCTAAATGAGATATCCGCATCCAAGTCCGCATCCTCAATCACGATTCAATATATATCCGCATTTGCATCCGCATCACACAAAGAGGATGTGGCGGATATTATAACCTAAATTACAGAGCTTGCATATTCATTTCCCAACAGTAGGCCTGTTGCCCCATACTAGGCAATAAGCCTAGACAATTCCATTTACTCACGTGCATGTCCCGCTCAAATCCAACCCCCTCTCCCTCATGTACTTATCCAACCTAAATTTGAAACTACCCAAGGTAGTTTCAGATTTAGGTAATTTCGATAACCCTAGTAGGTAGACCGTTCCACTCATCAACTACCCTATTACTAAACCAATATCGATTGAGTACAAGAAACTGCCCATTTACCGATTTCAACTACCTAATAATGTGGTCAGAAATTTGCAATTTGGCCAATTTCACGAAAACTAAAAAATATGACAATTTCAAAATAAGGTCCAGAATGAACAATGCAGACATTCCTGGCTCTAAAATAACATTTCTTTGCTCATCAGTCATGTCTCCAGGCCCCTCTGATATTACTCTTGCTTTCTATTTTGAATTTTTATTCAAACAAAAAATAGAAGACTTACTATTATGCAGACTACTGCAATACTGTAATAATTGTATAAATAACATCAACCCATTCATGACTGCATATTAGAATGGCTAGTTGGACATTTATTGGACAATGGCATCATTTGTTTACTTTTGAACAATGGCAAAAATCAAACATTTCCCCTACTTTGAGCTCCATTTCTAGGTTCTTTTTATAGTAAAATCAATCAAAATCACCTCTATTTCTATAGTATTTTTTCCATTCTATCAAATGAGACCAAGAAAACGAGAATACAACCATAAATACTATACAAAAATAGACCACAAAGTCGGCATTTTAATTAAAAAAAAAAAGTCAGTTTTTTTTTTCTCATTATGCACTGCATGCTCCAGGATTTTTTTTATATGGTGCACACTGACCACACAGACCCATTCTCTCACATGTGGGCCTACCAGCTTTCTCCTGCTTGATTTGAAGCCACTAGAATTTATGAGTATATATACGTCAAACACGGTACCTCGTAAGATGTATATATACGGCTGTGACAGTCAAAGGGTTAAATTAATTGAAATGGAATTAATCCATTCCCGTGGAATTCCAGGCAATACAAAATCTTCAACAATTTCCCTAATATCAACTCTACGGCTTATTTATCACAAAGCATCTAATGACATAATAAACAATATCAATAACATAGAAACATGATATATAGGCTAGAATGAATAAAATACATGTCATTACGTATGTGGTTAGTGGTGGTGATAGCAGCCATTGTTGTTGTTGGGGTTTATAGGGACACTACAGCGGCCATTCCTGCTCATGACTACATGTGTAGAGAACCTAGGATAACCCAGAAATGTCAGACACTGCTGCTTCATGTTGTCTGCCACTGCTGCTTCATGTTGTCTGCCACTGCTGCTTCATGTTGTCTGCCACAGCTGCTTCATGTTGTCTGCCACAGCTGCTTCATGTTGTCTGCCACTGCTACCTCATGATGTCTGCCACTGCTGCTTCATGTTGACTGCCGCTGCTGCTTCATGTTGACTGCCACTGCTACCTCATGATGTGTGCTCCCACTTTTGCTAGCGTGTTGAAGAGCTTTCCAATATGTGAAGGTTGAGGGGCAGTGCCAATCGGACAGGTTTTGGACGGCAATGTCATTTGTTTACTCTTGAACATCGACAAAGAACTGAACATTTCTGCTACTTTGAGCTCAATTTCAAGGTACTTTTCGTCATAAAACCAATCAAAATCAAATCTATTTCTGTAGTATATCTTCCATTCTATCAAATGAGACCAAAAAAACGAAAATACAACCATAAAATCCATAGGAAAATATACTGCTAAGGGGTGGCTAATGGCTAAGAAGTGAACTCCATTATTTATGGTCCAATTTCTTTCATTTTTGGTGTACGTTAAGAAATATCTTTCCATCTTACATTGCCCAAGTTTCAATAAGATAGTCCAACAAACAACTGAGATCCAATTCCCTAGATCAAGAGCAAGAGCCCCTCACCAGCGTCATGGAACCTCCCTTGAGGCCCACTCGCATCTGGAAATTTCACTTGCGTCTGGAAGCAAAAAAATCTACCGAGTGACTGCTCATATCTGGAAAAAC